ACTGCATAGCTTGTGTATACGACTGGTCTAAACGTTCTTCTTTTTTGTGCAACTTGAATAAATTCCAGTGGTGTTTTCGGTTCTTGACGTGCTGCCTCTTTGTGTAATGATAACTTTAATCCTTGTAATAAATAAATTAATTTGGATTGATCTGTCATTTGACTGTCCATTGTTTCACATAACTGAAGAATGTCATTATAATAATGCATCACTGATTCCTGTAACCCTTGTCTGGGACTTTGCAGTTGTCGTGCTGCCAATTGTTTCGCTGCTGGTGATGAATATGTTTTAGCTATTTCGATGCAAAATTTGCTCCATGTGTCCAAATTATCCATATTGCTGAGATACCATTCAGACGCTTCGCCACCTAAATAATTTGCTATCAGTGCTAACTTTGTTGAATCGTCTAGTGTCGCCAGTTTAAATGCATTTCCAACACTTTTCAACCATTTCAACACATTTTCTTCAAATTTTCCTTCAAATTTGGGTGCTTCTTTTAACTTTTTAGCAAGCAGTGTTTGAACGATTTTACTTGCCATAATGAATTGTGATGGACGCTAACAAATTAAACTTGCGTTTTGTGCTTGATTGTTATTTGTTTGTTCGATTTGAATATCACCTAACCTTTGTGTTTCTTCTGTAAAAAATGCTTGTTATTGTGCTCTTGTTTGTACCATATAACGGATTCTTGTACTTACTGTGATGTTGTCTTGACAGTAAGCCGGCTAGTGCACCAGTTGTTAGGTCCGGTATGTTAAGTTACAGTTTTAAATCTTTACATCTTTAGTTGTTTACATGTTTAAATCTTTACACCTTCAGATCATTACATCTTTTCATCTATCAATCTGTAGATCTTTAAATCTTTACATCTTTAAACCATTGCATCTTTAAATCTTCACATCTTTAATTGTTTGTATGTTTAAATCTTTACACGTATAAATCATTACATCTTTGCATCTCTAAATCTTTAGATCTTTAAATCTTTACATCCTTAAACCATTACATCTTTAAATATTTACACTTATAAATCATTACATCTTTAAATCTTTACACTTATAAATCATTACATCTTTAAATCTTTGCATCTATAATTCCTCACATCTTTAATTCTTTGTATCATTAAATCTTTGTATCATCGTTCACTTTCGTTGATTCAACTAGTGCTTCGGCTGCTATATCAGATATTTGGTGGAATTCGGGATTAAATTGAGTGAAAGTGTTGTTCACTTTCCTTGATTGAGCCAGTGCTTCGGCTACTATATCAGATATTTGGGTGAACCCAAGATTAAGTTGATTGAGTGTGCTATGCACTTTCAATGATTCAGCCAGTGCTTCGGCTACTATATCAGATATTCGGTTGAACCCAAGATTAAGTTGAGGGAGAGTGTTGTTGACTTTCATTGATTCAGCCAGTGCTTTGCCTCCTATATCAGATATATGATTGAATTCAAGATCCTGTTGCGTGAGTGTGTTGTTCACTTTCATTGATTAAGCCGGTGCTTCAGCTCCTGTGTCAGATATTCTGTTCTGAGCAAGAATAGGCTGCGTAAGAGTGTTGTTCACTTTGATTGATTCAGCCAGTGCTTCGGCTCCTGCATCAGACAATTGGTTGAATCCAATATTAAGTGGATTGAGTGTGTTGTTCGCTTTCATTAATTCAGCCAGTGCTTCGGCTCCTATAGTAGATATATGATTGAATCGAACATCGTGTTGCATGACAGTGTTGTTCACTTTTAATGATTCAGCCAGTGCTTCCGCTTCTATTTCAGATGTTTTGTTCTGAGCAAGTATAGGCTGAGTAAGAGTGTTGTTCACTTTCAATGATTCAGCCAGTGCTTCGGCTACTGTATCAGATATTTGGTTGAATCCAAGATTAAGTTGATTGAGTGTATTGTTCACTTTCATTCATTCAGCCAGTGCTTCGGCTCGTATATCAGATATTTTGTTCTCAGCAAAAATAGGCCGAGTAACAGTGTTGTTCACTTTCACTGATTCAGCCAGTCCTTTACCGGCTATATCAGATATTTTGTTCTGAGCAAGAATAGGCTGAGTAAGAGTGTCGTTCACTTTCAATGATTCAGCCAGTGCTTTGCCGCCTATATCAGATATTTGGTTCTGAGCAATAATAGGCTGGGTAAGGGTGTTGTTCACTTTCACTGATTCAGCCAGTGCTTCGGCTCTTATATCAGATATTTGGTTGAATCCAAGATTAAGTTGAGTGAGTGTCTTGTTCACTTTCAATGATGTGTTTAAAGCCACCGTTTCTATTAAATTTGCGTGCTGCCACGTTTATTTTGAATGGAAAAGGTGTTACCTTGACAAAGAATTCATTTTGCATCGAAAGTTTTCATAATTTTAACCTTCTGACTCATTTGCTGACAGCGATTAAAACTCCTATTAATAAATTAAACTTATATACCATTGTTTATCTTTATTACCGAGATACTTTAATTCGTAGAAGAGAAAAAGATTTGAAGTCTTTAGCAAGTTCACCTTACAGCAGACAAGGCACGAACACCGTCCTCTCTCGGTGTAACAATCAGTTTTTAATATGGAGAATCTCTTTTCGCTTAGTACTTCATCATGAATCTCAGACAAATTGTCGTTCCCAATGGATATTATGCAAGATTAAATTGTGGGCAAATGAATTTAAGTCATCATTTTTCTGCAGCTGAGCAACAATGTGCAGCGAGTCGGCGACATTTGCCAGCAATAGAGAATGAGATTCGCAATGTTGCTCAAAGAATTTTGCTTCGATTAATGAAAGGTAAGTCTTGAAAAAACAGATTGGGCCGGCATAGCAGCAAAGAACTACCTTTTTCTTAGGAGGTCGAAATGATTATGTTAGTGCAGCAGGTCGGGAGACAATTTCGCGTTCACACTGTGCCTACCTCCGACGTGTTTACGAAGTGAGTAAAACATACTGATTGTACGCTGCTCTTTGGATATCACTTGCTAGTTCTAAAACTATACGTTCAAAAAAGAAAGACTAGGAATGATTTTGTTTGCTTTCAGCTGAATCAACGATATCGTACCTCTTCCACTCTATTACAGGCCTTGAATTTAAATACAAACATCTATGTTGGACGGGAGAATGTACATTTGGGGTGTCATTCGTAAACCTGAATGTTTATGATTAAACAATTAGAATGAACAAATATTTACTGACTGTTTCTCTCTTACACGGAAAGGTCCCGACATGCGCAGTTGTTTTTACCTTATAAGATGCTTGATTAAAGGTAATTTTTGACGCTGATCCCGAATCTAATATTCCTTTAGACTGCTAGGTGTTTCCACCATTGGTTTATAGGCATCCGGCCTCTGGATTAATGGTGGAAACATCTAGCAACCTAAAGGAATATTAGATTCGGGATCAGCATCAAAAATTACCTTTAATCAAACATCTTATAAGGTGAAAACAACTGCGCATGTCGGGACCTTTCCGCGTAAGAGAGAAACAGTCAGTAACCATTTATAGTGATTCTAAGAATTGTGCTGGTTCAGATATGATTTCTTAGAGGTGTCCCTATGAAATTATTTAGAATCGAACATGTTTTCTAAAAAAAATAAAAAGATTATTTGAAAAAGAAAATACAGACTGCCACAATTTTAAAAAGGAAATAAACATTCATTCCTACCCCAGTGCACTGCACTAAAACTTCGTAAAAGTCGGGCTTAGACTATATTGCCATATCCTATAACATTTCGACCTATATTTTCAACCTTTGTTGGTAATTTTACATCTTTTGCTGTTAATTTTCGCAAAAAATTAAATAATAAATAAGCGAACGAACAATTATCTTTCGTAAAGGTGAGAAGTACTATAATGTAATTCGTATGACTTTCATTGATACTAAAAGTTTCTCTGTCCCGTGCTTTTCACTAACAAAAATACTTGAAAATAAATTCAGAATGCTACTTTTCTTCGACCAAAAAAATAGATCTGTTCAATTAGTCTTGGTAATATGATATATCTTATAAGATTCTGTGCAGAGTATGTTTCACTGCTCCAGCAATGTTGTTCCAAAGCTCAACACAGTTGCAGAGTACTTTCCGCTTCAGACTCACAAACTTCAACTGACAATCAACAATTCATAGCCAAGCGAAGTTTTCATTTTCGAAGCAGCTTCTTTGCCTAAAAACGTACCAACATAAAGCATTGTTTTGATTCATCCAAGTTAAAGATTTTGATTAACTGTGATTTTGGCGCCAGTTGACACGCTAAAGGCAAAAGTCTGTTACTTATCGAAAATAGTTTGTTTTACATTTATTCTGGCGCACACAATCACGCTGAGTTCAAATTTTCATATTTACAGCTTAAAAATTATGCTAAAAAGTTTATTTTCTATAATCATCGTTACTGTGCTGTACAATTACTGTTGCTATTCCTTTCGTCAGAATCAATCAGAAAGCAGTTAAGAGCCATAGCAAAAAACTCTATTAAATAATAGAGGGACTATGATCGAAATAAAAAACGAATTTAGGTTTCATGAAACTTTGGCGAACGCTACTTCATTTTAATAGAAGCTTAATGATATACAGTGCTCCGTAGTTTGTTGTGCGATTCAAAAGTGTTTTTTTTTCATTTGAAAACATTTCGAGTATTTTTAATCGTGATGGAGTCTGAAAAAGAGAATGATATTGGTGGAGTTGTCTGTTTTACCAATTACAGCTCTAATTACCTAATTCTTCGATTCCTTCTACTGTTGGTATCTATTCTTTTTCGTCCAGTTCTTCATCCTCACGCGCTTGTTCAGCTAACTGATCACCTGAAAGAGATCGATTTAAATGGATACTGTTTTATTTATTTCTCTACGCTTACTTCGTTTCATTGCATTACGATAAATATTCTTTATCGGATGGTTCCAACATCGATACTGAGCCATTTGTGGAGACTCCAGTTTAAAACCATTTTTAAAAAGATTATTAATTTCATTATCCGTTATCAAGATACATTTATCATTTACTTTTGCACAATTTTCTGAATCCACGTGAACTAAAGTTTAAAAATATTGCTCATTACAATATTCGGGGTAGAACTGGTCACCACTTTATGTAGCCATTACACAATAAAAGTTGTGTCAGATGAAAGGATAATTGGAATTCTTGGGTGGCAATTTCAGTATTTGATTAAATAATTTGATCATTTCATTATTGCCAAAAACAACGGCTAATGCTGGTAGCTGAACAAGTTTATGGATAAAATTTGCATTTTCATATTCCATTAAGTATAGGTTGTACAATTCGTCATTCGTTAATTTGAGTTTTCTCAGCTCTGTATTTCTTCAATTACGGATGATACTCTTGTTTAATTTTGTTTTGACAGCATTTGCATTGCTAATTAAAGTTTGATATACATGATTCGTCTGCTTCTCTTTTACTTGTTCATTTAAATTTTCAATTAATATATTTAGAAGTGGTGGTTGTTTGAGCAAAGCACCAATTTCAATATTACCTAAATATAGAACACAGGTAATCTTTGTGGGTTTATAATAAATATCCACCAACGTTTATAAACATTTTTTCAAATCAAGTTTATTTTTAATTCGACTGGATGAGTCATGTCAACATAGATTTACGACTTATATGGACTTGATCTCCCAAGTGCATTTTGTAGTTCTGCATTAAATGTATTTCTGCAAGGAACAGAAGTAGAAGATTACGTACCAAGATAATGTAAAGCATTTAGTTTTGAATCGTTTCCTGATTTATAAACTGGTTTATAAAACTTTTGATCATTTGGTAAATTTTTATTTGTTTCATCCTCTGATACCAAATAATGTACCGTAAAAACTACTTGTTTCTTAACAATTGCAGGCATAGCACCATATTGTTTCCCTCACCATTTATTTATTTACTAAAATGTAATTAATGTCGTTTATTTTGAACCTTTAGATCATTTACCTTTTTGCATTTTAGATCAATAAATCACGTACACAGTGTTGATAGAAAGTATATCAGGTAAAGTTTCCAGTTTTTCTTGATTTATAAGCCTTGGGAAGATTGATGAATCTGTTCATAGGTCGAAATTGATAAATATTTTAAATTTTTGATGAAAATGTAACAAGATTACTTGAAAGTAATTCTTTCAGATACTACACATAAAACGAATTGTAAAATATTGCTTTCCATAACCTGACCTCTTTTTTTAGCCACGTATTTAGTTCAAAATATAGACAATGCTGCATTCAACGTGAATTTTCAACAATTTCCAATGTCTCAATGTAACTGTGGTATGTTCAGACAATCAACAGTGAAGCGTGATTGCCTTCATATTTTGGTTGTCAAAAGATATTTGAACCTGACCGAAAAACAGTGTTAAGCAACAAAAAACATGAAAAATGTTCGAAAAGCGTCAAGGGCCACAGTGGCGGTTAAAACCACCGTTGCTAAACGACCAACCGTCTTTAAACCTTTACAGCCTTAAATCTTTGGATCTTTCGTTACATCTTTAAATCTTGACATCTCTAAATCTTTAAATCCTAAAGATGCAAAGGTTTAACGATTCAAAGATTTAAAGATTTACACATATAAAGACTTAAGGATTCAAAGATCTAAAGGTTTAAAGATCCGAAGATTTAAAGATGTAAAGATTCAAAGATGTAAAGATTTAAGATCCAGAGATTTAAGGCTGTAAATATTTAAACATGAAAAGAATTAAAGGTGTAAATCTTTGAAGATGTAAAGAATTAAAGATGCAAAGGTTTAACGGTTCAAAGATTTAAAGATTTAAAGATCTAAAGGTTTAAAGATCTAAGCATTCGACGATGTAAAGATTTAAAGACTTAAAGATCCAGAGATTTAAGGCTGCAAAGGTTTAAAGATGTAAAGATTTAAAGATTCAAAGATTTAAAGATCCAGAGATTTAAAGAGGAGGGAAATTTAAAGACGGGGTTTCGATAGAAGGACGGGGAAAATGATTTTTTACTGACACTCTTCATGAAATGCAGATGTCTCCAAATTAGACACGTATGCTTGAGAAAGAAAGAGTTAAATATTGATAGCATCCATTATGTGCTGTGAATCATTATATATACCTACTTCATCTCTTTTCTCGTTCTGTTTTTTCTTTCTAGCATCCTTTAAAATTATTTCAGTCTCTTATTTATTGAACAAATTACCGTTATTTATGCATAGAGTAAATGAAGCATGATATTAGACAAATGCAGAGGAGGTATTGTTTTCACAAAAACCCTAGATAGGGATAAAACGATAAAAGTGATGAAAACAATAGAAAGACATTATTTCTGTCCAAACAGATTTGAGATAATACCTGCTACAATGCTTTTGTCCGTAAATCTGCAGATACTTCTGCTAGTTAATTGGATTTGGTTCTCATAGCTCTTAAAAAGAAGACAGAAAAATAAAATTGATACTACAGATTATAATAACAGAAGGTCGTGCTATAAACTGCCAGAACACGATGACTGGTAACGTCATTTACTTTTCGCTGCAATAATACGCAGATCAATATTATCACAAAAACAATTTCTATTATCATTCAAGAACTGCACTAGAACAATCAGAAATTTAGTTTTATTCGGTATAATTCCTGTAAACGAAAGATCACCAGTTCCAGAAATGCCGCTGTGCATTTTTTCATTAGGACCAGATTCTAAAACGGCACAAAAACTGGCTCATTTATTCCCATTAACGCGGTTTCTACTAGACAGACTTACCGAGCGCAATCCTACTAATAATCGAGTTTGGCATTATTGCCAAAAGCTCTGTCGCTGAGAAAAATAAGATGACTTCAACATCTCTCCTGGAACAACGTTCATCAAAATAAGCTGATAGATTGAATAAAGCTTGGTTATTAGTAACTAACATAGAAAAATCATCCACTCCAACCACTTGCTCCATACGTGATGAATTGCCACTAGTAGAAAAGAAGTAACAGTTATCTGAATCACCTCCAACTGCAATATCGCCTGATACCGTAGACCAGCCTTTTATGCTTGAACTGCCACTCGGACACTAAACATGAGAAGAAAAGTAACCATACAACTGCTCGATGTGTATGTGAAATACGAAATAGTTATCATCTGACGAGGAATGATCCCCAACTGATAAATCGCTTTTTCAACGAAACCGACTGGACTATAGGTAGTCGACGATGCTGATTCCGAATACCACCATGAATGCTGCCGCTAGGCCTTCAAAGACCGGTA